AAGTAACAGAGAGGGGCAGGCACTGAACAGGTTCATAAAAGACACATTATGCAAACAACTGTTGATAAGGTCTTGTACAAGTTTAGTCAGAGGTTCTGCTACAACAAAATATCTGGCAACCTTAGCATTACAACACTTACTGTGTTTTGATCAGAATAAAACTCTTCTTTAGTTAGCAATAAAATATTTATTGAATTGCTGGGGGTTTTGTAAAGTACCAAAAGTTTTCTAAGTACAAACTCCACAGAGACGGGTCTATTTTTTCACATTCCATCTTACAAACTGCTTTTCTAATTAAACAACTTGGTGAAATTAATTCGCTTTTTTAGACAATGGCCAAGTAAGTGATGTTTTGAGCAGCTGCCAGCTAAATGTTCATTTCTCACATGGATAACATAGAAGCCAATGCTATGCCCACCCCTGCCCAAAGGGAGGCAATGCCAGAGGAGGTGAGTTCAGCGCTGACCCACGCGCTGCCTGTTTGCCATGTGAACACATCTTCACTCAGATGAACAGTGGATCTGAACTAAGTCTACCAAGGGTCTCTTGTCCAACCGCCCAGTCACAACAATCAAATCATGAGGAGCCTGCAGATGTAGCACAGAGTCCGAGCTGATGTGAAGAGAAGTGTTAAACTGGTATCTGCCACCTAAATAAACCCAGTCTGATTTTCAGAGACTATAGCCATTCAAAAGTACCCATCAGAGACACTCCACATCTCTGCAAATCCACTGTTCTCTATTTATGTTCCTAAGCAGGATTTGGAAGCTGAACCTTAGGGAACCAAGTTTGAAAATGCCTCTCATACATTTTTTAATACTGTACACGGTATAATGTAGAGGTTTAAAAATATTATTAACTTTGAGAAATGTTCTTGTTTAAGTAAATAACCATTTTATTATTGTGGTAAGTCACTTCAGACCTGTGTTGGTGCTGATTAATGCACTTCTTAGATGTGTGGCAGGCACCAGAGGTGTCCATTAATTAGGGCTGCTGCACAGTCTGTCATGTCTTATTGCTTAATTAATAAACATTAGCTAAGATATTGAACTTTCCAAGGAAACTAGTGTACTGATGAACAGATTGTGCTAAGAGCCTGGCTTGCTAATGCTCATGTGAGGAAAGGAAGATTTATATTCCGTGCATTTGGTTTGTAGAACAGCTGTGAGTGAAGTCTACTGGGACACCTGTTAGAGGCCACTGTATAACTTAGTGCATGTTGCAGAACTACAGTATTCAAATAAAAAAAAAAAAGAATATTTAACAGATTGTAATCAATATGCAAAAAAACTAGTGTAGCAAGCAGAATAAAAGTCCTTACACTTACGAAAGTTTCTTGTAATAGTAAAAATAACTTACCCTGATATAGTTCTTTCAACCCATAGATATCAAAACACTTGGCAGGCACCTGGGATTGGCTCTGTACCATGAGGCACGAGCAGCTGCCTCTCCCTCCTGGTAAATTTTTCAGATGTCAGCAGGACACAGGGACAACATCCCTCTGGACTTTCTTCTGTCTCAGTCGCATTAAAAAATCTGTCAGTTATCTTTCGAAAGCAAAAATCTACATTACTGTTAATAATGAAACTATCAGATATATTACAGCTTAATTTTCAGGTGCCATTTTTGTCATTTTCAAATTATTTTGAAACTAAAAACACATAAGTTTTACGTAGAAGTCCATACAATATTTTTTATATAATTTTGGTATCATAAATAATATTTAATATGAACTCTGTCTTCAACCTTGACAGCTATTTCTAACACCAAACAAAAATGATAAAATGTATTTAACAGGCTCCAGTGTTTAATATCATCTGTGTACAAAAACATATAAAAAGAATGGTCCCCTTTATAAAAATAAAAGCCTATGCACTAAAAAGCATAGAAATAATTAGCTATGTTAACTGTAAAAAATATTCCCTTTCCCTTATAGTTTATATTCTCACCTGCCAGAAAGTGTTGCTTGTAAAAATACTCCCTGCCCATTTTAGTCACCTTAATGCTGATCCACAAGACTTTCTAATGAGTTTTGACCATGCTCATCGCTGAAAAGAAACCTACAGCCTCTTTCTCAGCGTTTGATGGCAGCACAGCATATTTGCAGGTTTTCTTCCTTTTGATAGCAATCAGTGTTCATCACAAAACCAGAACTAGAGAGCAGTAATCAGCCTTTTTTGTTAGCGGACTCAGGGCTTCATACGTATAGCAACTAAGCTAAAATTCATATTCTTTTGGGTTGAAATAGATGGGACATTGATTTGCCAATGTGGAAAGAGTTACGCCGATTGCTACAGCTGTTGCTATATCCTTCTCGTAGATACGGACATTTAGACCATTTCACGATTAATGTGGTGCTTCTTCAACCTTAAACTGGCAAGGAAAAAGGCATTTAAAAGATGTTAACGTATATAATCTTTACATATTATACCATATATAATTTTATATTACCAAGAAAAATGTACTTCTTCCCTTTTAGGTATATAGATATCTAATTCCTCTGTTCAGAGATAGGTGCTATACAAGCAGCAAAGCAGGAGATAAAATAAATAAATAAGCAAACAAATAAATAAGGAACTAAAAAGCTCTAATTCTTCCTTTGAGACTTGATTCCCATTGCAGCATTAGACACTTATTACATCTTTACTCTTGCTTCTTAGACTCTAAAAATAATACTTGTCTTACAAGGGATACTAATGAGATAATATCTGCAGTTTATTTTTAAAATGTGCTGGTATTAATGAGAAATTATGATTATCCCAGTACCAGCTGGCATTGCTCTTCATACTGAAAGGCTTCCTTTGAACAAGAGAGGAAACAAAATGCACTATAACTTCTTTTCCAAAGATATGGTAAAATAGAATGTGTCAGAGAAAACACAATGTCTGGAAAATTGTGGTTGCTTTTGTTTTTTTCCCGAATAATTTATTTCAGGAAAAACTTCATCAGCTCTCTATTGTTGTGTCAAGTGAGTGCTGTATGTCTCATAAAAGTAGAGAAGGTTTCCCTTAGCCTTAAAAACAAAATACATTTCAGAAATTCATCATTTGCAACACGTACAGTTAAATGTAAAGATTATGATATCTGCATTTCAGGGCTGCTAAAGATTGCCTCTTCAATGACAAGTATCAGCTAAGCTATACCCCACACTGTAACGAGCATCTATGTTTTATGAAGCTACTTTAGACAGACTGCTTAAGATACATGAGTTTGGACAGCTTTGTGAATAAAATTTCGTGCACATGGGGTTGAATTTCACCCACCCTGAGTCTGTAACAGGAGCAGTCTGGGGGGCATATTGATTGTTAGGAGGCACAGGCTTGGAGGAAATTTTTCCTCTGGTAATCTGATGGTATTTTTTCTGATGGTACCCATTTTGGCAGCCCAGATATTTGAACGCTGAAGTAAATCCCAGGGAGATAAAGTAACCAGAAAGGCAAGTGGAAGGATTTTCATATTGACATACAATTTACCTCTCGATATCACGTCGGTATGTGCATTGCCAACCCCGTCTGCATGTATGCGATCTGTCAGTACATAAAGTTCAGAAATCCCTACGGCAAATAATGCTGCCTCTGGAGTAGCCTGTACTCCCCAGTGCTGTGGCTGGTGGTCTGAAACTCACCCCATGCAAATCCAATAACCTGCTGCATTGCAAACACTTATTTTACATGCATAGGTGGTTCTGCCAGTGTACGAAAGGGCTATACACTGTAGGACCAGGTCACCCCATTTTATAAAACTCAGACATCCAGCTGTGTACAGCTACAAGAGTCTTGTTCCTTTCTCAACCATGCCATGAAGGGGAGCTAAGGTCCTAATGTAGCTTCGTTACTCCTATTTGTTTGCATAATGCTTGCAGCATAAGCATTAGGCATTGCTAAACAGAGCCAACAACATTAATTCAGAATTCAAAAAGAGAACAAGGATATATTCCAGGATAATAAGGCTGAATATATTGAAGCTACAGCTAGTGCTATGAAACATTGATTTGCTGTAAACAGCTTAATGTACCCCCTTCCAGCTGCATTAATATGTCTGCGGAATGTACATACATCTGTGTGAAAATGATAAATGTCTCCTTAAAGCAGAGTAGCTATAAATGCAGTAGGTGTGTTTCTCATAAGTGCACTGTGCTATTATAAATATTGTGTACAATCATTTGTACTTTAGAGAACATTTAGCACTGGTTGGATTTTTATGTAGAAGGGTTATGTGTGTGTGGTAGGATTGGTCTTTTTCCAAGCTTTATTTTTGATCAACAGCTTATTCTTTCCATTCTTTTATATACAAGAAATCCTGACTATGTCATTTCTATCATCATCCCCACTGCTATACCACCACTCATTTCAGAACCTAGTAACCTTTCCTCTTGCTTTTTAAATCTTACATAGAATTAATCCAGCCAGCTTTTCATGGACTTTACCTGCTTCTGCCATCTCCTGTCATCCAGGCTGCTAATATCCTTTTCAGACAATGTTTTTTGTTACCAGTGTTACTAAAAACAGGCCTCCCTTCAACTCTGACCAAATGTAATTGTTCATACATGTGATTTATCTGTGACATCAGATCTATTTCTTTCCAAATCATGACCAAACACGTTTTCCACATCTGCTGAATCTCAAAGTTTTACTCACTTTAGGATACACAGTAACACCGTCATTTTATTAACTTTTGTTTAGTCATGAGCAGCTTGGACATCCTGGTTTCTGAGAGAGGCTGTGCAAAATAACGTTGTGCTTTGCTGTAACTCAGTGTGTGGGACATGGCCTGAATTAATCGTGCCCTATCAGCAGAAACATATTATCAAGGAAATTTGCTGGGTGGTGCAATGTGCATTTGTAGTGCTCTATTGTATCATGGCATTGCCAAACACTAACACTTTGTCAAGACATAAATATTAGAGCATCCCAGCATGCAGTGACCATACAAGGTTAGTTTGTGGCCCCATGACTCAGCGGGGGGCACTCAATATTCAGTATGACATTGACCTGCAGGCGGATGAAAGGATAGTGACTCTTGGTAGTTCTTTTCTCTCTTCCTCCTTTCTTGGCTGTTTGAAGAGGATGGCCGTAGAGCCTAAAAAAGTGCCTACTGTGTTTCCTATGCCTACAAAATACTTTGCATCTCCTCCTGTCACACTCCTGCAGGTCCTGATTCCCTGAGTGAAGCCCCAGCAATGCGTAAAGTGAGGGTGGCTGTGCCATTGATTGCTATCACTGGTTTCTAATTGTCAGCTTTACACTGTCCTTTCAGCATTTAACTCTAATGCCAGTCATCATACCCATTGTATTTCTTTAGGTTATACTGTCTATTGAAGAAGGCTACAGGCTTCCAGCTCCCATGGGCTGCCCAGCTTCTCTTCACCAACTGATGCTTCACTGCTGGCAAAAAGAGAGGAACCACCGTCCAAAATTTAGTGACATTGTCAGCTTCCTAGACAAACTGATCCGCAATCCGAGCACCCTTCATACCCTAGTGGAGGATGTACTTGTGTAAGACTCTTTTCGGTACTTTTTTGATTTATAACGCGTTGTGGCTATCATTAAACGTGTTAGGGCATTAAATAGGGGTAGGAGAGATGCAAAGTTCTGAATTCACAAAGTTATGGGGTTTCAAATACTTCTAAGCCTCTTCTAAGGTTTGCTTTATTGTTAATAAACTGTTTATAAGGACTTTTTTCCCTCAAGTCATGCAGATTATATTAGGCATTTTTCTCTTTTTTTTTATCTGAGCTCTGTTTGCACAGTCTATCCTTAATCTTTGTGAATCTCTTTGTTCTTTTTTTGTGTGTGTGTGCTTTTCCTATGTGATTGTTTTCTCTTTGTAATTTTTTTTCTCTATTCAACAGCCTGTCCTCTCCATCTGACAGTGCTCAAGCGATTTCTGAACTGCCTTGGAGTAATTTCCTGCAGAAAGTAGCGATGTCTTCGCTTGCTAAATCTTTATTTATCTGTAGAAGAATGGCAACAGTGACCAAATAAGAGATTATGCTATTACCATTCCACAAAAAATTCTTGATGGTGTTGCCCAAAGTTTTTTCCATTAATAATATTACAGAAATGAATGCAGCCACAGGAGAAGCAAGGTTGTGATACAGGAATTGGTCAATTTTTGTAAGCTTATTGATCCAAGCTGTCCCTAGATATCAGCTGAAATCAGTGAAGTTCCAGGTGGCCTCACTCTCTTCATTAGCCAAAATTCACCTTCAGATAAAGGTGCTTTCATGGAGACCCTCCTGGGTTTATAAGGGTTTCTCAAGGCCTCAGTGGTTTAAAAGGTTTTTGATATGGTTTGGAGAAGGGCCGAGCAACGGGGCAAAGATTGAGGCTGGTATCTTGTAGTGGGAAAGTCTGAACGGAGAGGCTACTAGGAAAACCTAGAGTCAGGGCTGCAGCCCTTTTATCTACCACAAACTAGTGGGACTTGCAGGATTTAATGCCCATGCACTAGAGTCAGTGGCCTCTGTGTATGTGTATATAAATATATATATAAGTTGCTACTTGTACTTGAGTCACTTAGCATCAGAGTAATGCATTTGTATCTAGTCTTATTTTAAAACATTACTTAACATCTAAAACCTTGTGCCTGTTTTCTTGCAGTCAAGCTCTTATTGAGCTCACTTGCTTGGGAAAGTTTCTTCATTCGTTTGGGAATGTTTGATGCAGTCAATCTGAATGATTATTGTGTTACTGTTAACTTATGAGGCCAGCACTTATTCTATGGAATTGTACAATCATAGAGTAATTCAGGCTGGAAGGGACCTTGGCAGATCTTTAATTGAGATTTGTATTTAACAATGTTCTCCTGTCCTTCAGTTTCTCTCTCTATCATTTTGATAATATGAATCAAAATCAGTGTGTTTAATGTATTTGAATATGTGTGGTTGAAACTTGGTGTGTTGCTTCCTACATTCTGCATAAGTCATGTTCCATCAGTTGATGTGGGCTGGCTTTTGCTGTTTAAATTTTCATTTTAAATTATGCCTTTCTTCTAAAGGCTATCATAAAGCTTTTACAAACAATAGCGTACTTTTTCCGCACTCTGTTCCTACAATTTCTCTACACAAAATGCACAAAGTCAATGGAAGTTGTGAGCCCTCACCAGTATGGTACGCAACAGAATACTGGAAATATATGCCCCAAAAGTGGAATCTTTTTATTTTTCATCTTTCTGTTTCAGTTGCGATAATATTAGGGAAAAGAATCATAGAATCATAGAATGGCATAGGCTGGAAGGGACCTTAGAGATCATCTAATCCAGCCTCCCTGTCATGGGCAGGGACACCTCTCAACTAGATCAGGCTACTCAAGGCTCCGTCCAGCCTGGCCTTGAACCCCTCCAGGGAGGGGGCATCCACAACCTCTCTGGGCAATCTATTCCAAAGTCTCACCACCCTCGTACTGAAGAATTTCTTCCTAAAATCTAATCTAAATCTGTTCTCCTTCAACTTAAACCCATTTCCCCTTGTCCTATCGGTGGACACTCTTGTAAAAAGTCCCTCCCCAGCCTTGCTGTAGGTTCCCTTCAGGTATTGGAAGGCAGCTATTAGGTCCCCCCGAAGTCTTCTCTTTTCAAGGCTGAACAATCCCAGCTCCCGCAACCTGTCCTCGTAGCAGAGGTGCTCCAGCCCCTGGATCATCTTTGTGGCCCTCCTCTGAATACGCTTCAACAAATCTGTGTCTCTCTTATGGTGGGGACATCAGAACTGGACACAGTATTCGAGGTGGGGTCTCACAAGAGCAGAGAAAAGGGGGAGAATCACCTCTCTTGACCTGCTGACCACACTTCTCTTGATACATCCCAGGATGCGGTTGGCCTTCTGGGCCGCATGAGCGCACTGCCGGCTCATGTTGAGATTCTCATCTATAAACACCCGCAAATCCTTCTCTTCAGGGCTACTCTCAATCCTCTCCGTGCCCAGTTTGTATTTGTGCCTAGGATTGGCCTGACCCAGGTGAAGGACCTTGCATTTTGACTTGTTGAAGCTCATGCAGTTAGCACTGGCCCATTTCTCAAGCCTATCAAGGTCCCTCTGGATGGCATCTCTTCCCTCAAGTGAGTCCACGGCACCACACAGCTTGGTGTCGTCGGCAAACTTACTGAGGGTGCACTCCATGCCGTCATCCATGTCGCTGACAAAGATGTTGAACAGCACTGGAATGAAACAGAAATTTGACTAAATTAGCTCCTTCATTTTTGTTTGCTACTCTATATAGTTCTATATAAAAGCAAAGATTTTTTTTTTTTACTTCTTTTAGTGTTAGTTTCAGCTTTAGATTCAATGTAATCAAAGTGTTCCCATTGCATAATGCTATAATGCTATAGGAGTAAGCAGTCATTTGGGGTTTTTTTAGTAGATAAATGTAAAAATTATCTCACAGTGTTTTAATATTTTTAAATTGTATCATGTTAAATTTTGTTTGTCCTCTACTTTGACTACTGTATTTACAAATTATTATCATCCTGAATACATACGATCTGTAAAGAAACACTATGCGGTAACGAAAATAAGAGCAGTGGGAGAAGTCTGTTCCTTGGTTTGTTACTGAGCTGCAGTGCTTTAAAAAGCTGTTTTAAGTAGTGCAACTTGGCGGACTGACATGATTTGCAAGTTTTAGACATCGGGCTAAATTGATCCTCAGTTAAAATCTGACCTTTACAGCTCAGGCTCGTCTCTCATTCCTTCTGCCTTTTGATAAAAACAATGTCTACCAGAGTAAATCAAGTGTCATATTTTGTACTGCTTTGATAACCTTTGCATTTTGTTTTTACAGAATGCCAGATTCACCTGGTGAAGTTCCAGAATATCCTTTGTTTGTTTCAGTCAGTGACTGGCTGGACTCCATAAAAATGGGTCAGTATAAAAATAACTTCATGGCTGCAGGTTTCACAACTTTGGATATGGTTTCAAGAATGAGTATTGAGTAAGTACGTAATCTATTATCCCTACAGTGGCTAATCAATCTGAATTTCTTTGGATGCTGCAGTGATGTAATTATCGTCATGTATGGGACAGTGCTTTCATTTTCTTTCCCACCTAAGCTAATAAAAGACAAATACAGGTTTTTACCAAAACAATGCAAGAGAAAGATGTAATTAAGAAACCCAGAACTGATAGTTTCATTCTGTGACCATACCAAACACTGCCAAAGGTCAGGCAGGGAACATCCTTAAATGTGTCTTGGGGAACCAGTTTTGATCTAGACCACTGAGATCAGTGGCAAAAATCTTGTCTTGCTTTGCTGTGAAAATCATCAAGGCTATGACAGTCCTCATGTGGAAGTTGTTCCACACCTTGCTGCCCTTCTTCAACCATCTCTGACTCCCCTCTATCATTTTTGTAATGAAAACACGGCACTCAGTATTGGGCAAACTATGGATTAATATGGTAACATAATGATACGATCTATTTTGTTCTCTATTCCCTTCTCATTAATTCCTGATCTTTTATTTGATGCTGGGACTATCTGTATTAATAATAGTAATGGTCAGTTAAGACTCAGTAATTTTACATGTAAAGCTAGGACTGTTTTTCTCCCGTGTGTATCACTTTACATTCTCCTACATTGAATTTCTTCTGCTGTTTTATGTCATAGTCACTTAGTCTTATAAGATCCTTCTAAAACTCTTGACAGCTGGCCATTTCCCTTACCGCCTTCAACAATTCAGTCTCACCAACTGACTTTTTCACCTCTGCGCTCACCTGTTTTTCCAGACCATTTAGTGATTTGTTCAACAGTAATGTTCGACGTTATCCCAGCATAGGTCCCTGCAGGTTTCCATTGATGACTACATTGTAAAACCTGCCATCTTACTCCTAACCTCCTGTCTTTAAACCAGTTATTTAGTCACGCAAAGACCTTCTTATGCCATAGCTCCTTATTTTCCTTATAAAGCTTTGATGCAGAATCTTCTCTAAAGCTTTTGGAAATCCAAGTAGATTGTATCAAATGGATCATCTTCATCCAAATGTATGTTGACTTCTCCACTGGAAACATATAAATTCATAAAACAGGGCTTCTCTTTGCAAAAGCCATAGTGGTTCAAGTAGACCATTTATCCAAGCATCCAATAATTCTATACTTCACCATAGTTTCTATTATGCCCTGTAATGATCTCAGGCTCACAGGTCTGTAGTTCCCCAGATCTCCCCTGGAAACTTTCTGTTTTGCTTGGTAACACCCTCTGTGCCTCAGGCACCAAGAAATTTTTAAGCAAGTGGAGCTGAGCTGATAACTCCCTCTCTCACATCTCTGTTAGTAATTCCACTACTTCATCCTTGAACTCTTATAAAACTCTCAGCTAAATATAGTCTTGTTCTGGAGGTGGGCTGTTGATTTTTTTTTTAGTTTGTCCAATAACCTCTCCTGCAGTCACTTCAACTTCCGACAGATCCTCTGACAAGTACTCCATAAAGGTTCTGGCATGGGAATCACTTCAATTCCTTCACAGTGAATATCAGCTCAAATAATGGGTTTAGTCTTCCACCAGTGGTCAGTCTTTCAGTGCTCTTTTATACTCAAATCATCATTAGACTCTACAGACACTCTAGCAGTCTTCTTGTACCCCAGTGAGCTTGCAAAAAGATTTATTATGAGTTTTATTATTAGATGTCTTTTTCTGGTTGTTCTTCAAGTTCTTTATAGCCTGCCTTACTGTGCTTTTACAGATAATCAGCCTAAGGTTATCATCCTTTCTACTTACTTTCTTTAGACACCACTTCAGCTTTTTGAAAGATTCCTTCTTTCTTCAAATAACCTCCATTACCCTAGGCCTGCTGGCTTCTTTCTGAGCTTTATCAGGCCTTCCTTCGTAAGTGCTATGCATTGTTCCTGCATTTCTAGTACCAGTCCCCCCTGTAAAGGTTTAATCTTTTAGCTGACTCTTCTTAGCTTCTAAGATGCTCAATAGTTTTGCATCTGACCTTAAGTGCTGTATATCATCCCCTATGTGGATGTTAAGCCCAAGTACATAATAGTTGCTGCTATCCAGTGGCTCTTCATCTGGAGGATACAGAGCTGGGTATCTTGAACTGCAAATCTGAAACTCAGAAAGCTCATGCCTCATCCCATGGGCTCCTTCACTAGCTATATCGTTAAACGAATTTTTAGGGTATATAAACAGGTGATGTCTATGCTATGTCCCAGCGTGGGATTTGCAAAATTGACAGGTCTTATTTGAAGCTTCCTGCCCTCAGCATCTCTGTGATCTTTCTCAGCATATTGCAGTTGGTGATGTTTAGAGAACAACAAAACTAGCGGATTCTTCTGGATGCTGAGGACTGTTGACTTCATTTCTGAAAAAAATTCAGGCTCTGTGGGTAAGTTACCCACTCTGGGGTGCAGGTCTAGATGAGATGAAAGGAAATCAGGACGGAAATCTGGGTCACGCTGGAAGATTCACTGCTTTTCTCATCTTTAGACCATCTCTCACCACCGTTCCCCAACATCAGAAGCACAGACTTTGTTATTTCAGTCTTAGATTACAAGAGTGAGCGTTATCTGCCCTGTTCCTTTGCAAGTATGAGTGGGAAGAATTTGCTACTAACACATTTCTAAAAAGTGGGCTATTAGAACCCACCTCTTAGGTTCTTCCTCAAGATTTGGAAAAATTACTTTACTATATCACAACAACAGATACCAATGTTCTAAGATTTATTTTTTTTTCTTAAATGACTGTCTGTAAAAATTCATAATTGACAGGTACAGAAAACTTGAACATTTGCAGCTTGCTTATATGTTCCAGTCAGGAAGGTAAACTGTCCTCGAGTAGAGCGATTCATCTATAGTCTTTTGTTTGCAAAAGGCTTTACTATACTTGCATCCAAGATGAAACTTTTTATCTTACAGTGACATTAGAAGAATTGGAGTTGTACTCATTGGACACCAGAGACGAATAGTCAGCAGTTTACAGACTTTGCGGTTACACATGATGCACATACAGGAGAAAGGATTTCATGTATGAAAGTACTAAAATCAACTGTGTTTTGTGCCTCAGCATTTCTAAAATGGAAAAATATTCTCATTCTTCCCTTCTGCTCTTCCCAACTTCAAGAACTGCAGTCTCCTCTTCAGACTATAAAAGTACTTCTATGTTAATGCTTCCAAACGGGAATTTTTAATCACACTGCATAGCTCCTCCACCAGCTATCTGCCAATAAAATCCTGACCTACTGCAAGACTCTTGCTACACATTGATGAATAACTCAGCATGGATGTGTAACTTTGTATAACAGTATTTGGGAAACTTTCATGAACTTACTTGAAAGTAGTAATCTATTTGGCCTGGTGTGGCTTCTTTATTGATGTATTTAGAGTTTGCTGGTAGATCAAAAAGTATTTGACTTCTTTTATGTTCTGTGACCATGTAACTTCCAATACCAAATGTGCAATCAAGAAGTTTGACATAAATATTTATTTTATCTCTTAATTAAATCCAAACGTATGGGTCCTATCGTTATATTACTTTATAGCGGTTTGAATGCTGGTGAGTTGGTGCCTCAAAACATTAGTATGGTTTGTAGAAATGACTGATGATTTTATGTAGCGAGTTTTCATTGTGTGAATAATTGGGAGGATAGTGAGAGAAATCTGTTTGAAATCTTAGGGTCCTTGATTTTGAATTACTTTAGCACTCGACACTTTTTATGCTTTAAACTTTAGATTAAGTTGGAAAATTTGTTCATCCTTGGGATTCTTCACCACCTTAGACTTTTTTTTTTTTTTTTTTAATACTCAGCATTTGCTTCTACTACATGGCAAATTATCACTGGAAAACTGATTGTAATGTTTCCATGACCACATGTAAAACATGATTGTCAGCTATATTCTGGCCACATAGACTTCAGAAAGCTTTCTGTTCCAAAAATACAGGCCTCCGCTGCTTGAACTAAGCATAATTTCCACCAGTGGTAGTAGACCTTAGAGGGTGAGCCATCAGTGGGATGATGTGCTTATTCCCACGGGAGCAGGCTGGCCATATCATCCTCCAGTTGAGGGCAGTGGTACAACCACCAACTGATGCTGGAAGTTACACTCTGTGGTGTTCAGTGATCTTGTACATAGGCAGAAAAGGAGATGTAGGACAGCAGTGTAATAATATGTTGCCTTGAGTCTACTTGTAACTGCTTTTAGAAGTAAAAAGCAGACTCTGCTGAAATCGAGCTCTGGTTTCTACGGGCTAGATCTTCATTTAGTACAGATATCTATGTGACATCAAAGACAAATACCTTTAGAACTCTTCAATAGCCATATTTACATGCAAGAAAATGGCTGCAAAGGCCTAACGTAATATTTGTACCTCTGTAAGACTTAAAGCTTTCATGTTTTGTTCAGACAACTTACACAGATGTGCTGGGCTACACTTCCAAACTTTTGCATGGGATATGCGCTACTAGGAACAGGGGAACGAGCGCATGTCTGCGTGCTGTAGAAGTCACGCACACATCTACATGCATGTCACATGTAAACTGGGTGCAGATGTTTTTGTTGATTTATACATAGTTTGGAGGACATTTTTGAGTTATGTGGCATTCCAATATACTTAAGTAATACAACTCTTCCATTAAAATGTGCATTTGGGTAATTAGTATATTATAGGTGTATATCAAAATGAACTAACTACTTTATGTAATCATAATGATATTTACTGCTTAATTTACAGTTTGTAAATCAAAATGTGTTTCGTAACTCTTTGAAAAGGCTGCCATTGTATGCTGGTGGCAAAGAAAGAAAATCAGAAGGCAACTCAGAGAAGATTATGCTTCCAACCAGTTCACAGAGTAAGACACGCTAGGCCTGATTTACTGTTGTCACTTTACATTGGAATAACTGCATTAATTTAAGTGGGATAACAGTAGTGCACTAAGTAAATTTTCCTCTTTCACTAAAAAACCCCAGATTTAACTGAGGAACAAGTTTTCTAGAGATCAGGATTGACCGGTGTTCTACAATGTCAGTTTGATTAGCTTGTTTATATAAGGGCTGCTCTGGTCCTATTCCAGCTACAAAGGTAATTTTGTCAGCATGAGCAGTCCTGCTGAACTCAGTAGGGCTGTACAAGCATGTGTGTTTTGCAGGATCACAGGCCTTTAGTGGGGAAAAAAAGCATTTGTTTTTTTTCTGTGACTGTCAGTTGAAAAATTCTGCCCTAATTCCACATCTGAATAATTTTTTTTGTAAAGGTTCTCTTATGGAAACAAAATCGTGCTTACTTGAAGCCTTTTTAAAAATACTTTCATGACAGAGTAATTTAAAAATTGATTTTCCTTTATCATTTTGTTATCCATTTTGCCTGTCATTGCTTCCGTGGCCAACAATGTGACATCTGTGGAAGAAGCCTCTCTCACAATTAAATACATTACCGAGGAGGTATGAGTCTGTTACTTGTTAATGGGGTTTCAAAATTACTCATAACTAATCCAAATCATGTATGTGCACTTTTAAATTCTCCTTTGCACATTTTTTCATTCCTGGTAGTGTGAATGCTGAGCGGCATGTTACATGCACACAACATGGATATATTTCATGGAAATTAATTTCCAGATTTATCACACTACTGAAAATATATTTTCAATAGAAAAATATAACAATATTGAAACATTTATTAATCAGATATATTTTTTATATAAACGAGAGTTTGGGTAACCAGAAAGGAAAGAACAAGGGATCCTTTATGTGAGGACATTTATTAAAAACATTGTAAATCTATTATTTTGTGGGTTTATACGGCTTGGGGTTTTTTTGTTGTTGTGGTACAGTATAACTGTTATAATAGTTATCTTGATCAAATTTACATTTTCCTCATTTTGAAAACATTTTATTTGCTCTTGCTCCAATTCCAAGCCTACTCTTGTTCTGGGGTTGTTTTTTTTTCCTAATTTTTTTCATTTAAAAACAAACAAAAAAATCAACAGGTATTATTTTTTCAAATGTAAGCTTAATTCTGTGCAGGCCACAAAAGTATATGTGAAATTAGAGTAACTTTCTTTGTTAGTGGGGATACTTTCTTCAGGTAAAATAAGCTCTCTTTAGTTATCCTGCATATTGCTGTATGCACCTAGAGTTTCAAGTTAACAAATTTAAGCAAATCTAGTAGGCTGTTTTTAAGAATCTGGCCTATGTTACAGAGTGCTTCATGACTAAAAGTACTCATTGGAAGTTCACAAAATAAAGTGTGCATGATATGCAAGCAAAAAAAAAAAAAAAAATTAAAATGTGGACATAAGGAAATAGTTCTAAGTTATTTACAACTAATATCCATTTTTTCTCATTGATCTGAGTGTCATTAATCTAGAATAAAATCCATCCATCTGTGCTGTCACCACTCCTTGGGTATCACTTAAGCCTCCAAAACACAACTTAAGTGAGGGCCTTGACTGCTGAGCAGGACTCTTGGTCAGTGCCTCTTGGCCGACAAGTGCACTGCCCCAGCTGTCCGTCATGTGTCATCCACAGTGCTTCTGAAGTTGACTGACAAGCAACTTGGATGTCCATGCAGCCAAGTGGGGTGGTCATCTAACATGGAAACTACATCAGTCATCCTTACTCAAGCTATCCCCACTTGTCAGTCAGAGCCCTGAGACCTATTGGGAGGAATTCTTCTCACCTAATTTTGGAGGTCTGCATTTGAGATAATCATCTGAGATTCCCTTTTAATCAATTAAGAGAAGTGAGCACTTGTAGGATGTGAGTCATCTGACAAATGCAATTATTTACTTCTGAGTTAGATGAATTGTGCCAAAGAAGCACCTGTTTCTCTACATTCAAAGAGATCAAAATGACTAGCTCATATCGAGGCGTCTGTGTTTGGTCAGGTGAATCTCATATATTGATTGTATCCAGTCCTTATGCTGAACCTGTGAAAAAGAGAGGATCTTGTCCATAATACTGGTGGTAAAATTGTACAAGTAACAGCAGAGGGTTTAGTAGATTTTGCTCATGAGGTGTTTGCATGTTGGAATTACCGAGAAGCAAAGGGACTCCATGAGGTGAAAGAAAAAGAGTTGAGCTATGTAAATTTTTTTTTCTTAAACAAAGGTTACCCTTTTTTTTCCCTGTGAACGTAAATTCAGTGTCTGTCCAATAAAAGCTTAGACACATGCTATGCTTTAAGACGTCAGCCAAGACCTCTCAGCATAAGGCAATTCTTTAATTGCAAATAGTGCACTCCACAATAAATTTAAATAAATTAGCTATTCTGGACAAAGCATTCTGTGTCCAAAATTGTATTAGGTATTGGCTGGATTATTCTGACATAAAACTCAAAGACTATAGTACTACGATTTGTCTGTAATTTAAGACTGACTATCCATTTTCCATTTTTTTTATATGATGAGCCTAATACTGGGCTCCATCAATTTCTTTTCCAATGCAGATTCATACAGGATCCAAAGATGGGTCATAAGTAACATACAGGCGCCCTTTATTCAGATGCAGTAGAGATTTACTATTTGGAATAGCTGGGACTGTGGAGGTGCCTAGTAAGACTGTATTAACCACAGCAATTTCCATGTTAGAATGACCCCATGGGACCACATCAGCCACCAAGGTAAAGCAGCATAGAACTTACTTTAACTTGTATTGAAGACCAGTTGCTAAATGTCAGCTGGTGCCGTTGCAAACTGAATGCATTATGAATAACCGAATAACATGTATTTAGCCGTTTTAACTCAGCTGATGGAATGGTTCTATGGGACATGTTCTGGCAGCTGAGAATTTTTCTTGTGAGCACCAGGTACCTGTAACTACCCCATCATGGGCTCTGTCTATCTTGGAATATGTCCCGCAGAGAGTGGAAAGGAGGACTCACTTCTAATCCATTCTAATACATCTTTTAGAGTAACAAAAGTTAGAGTCATAATAAAAAGTCTGTCTTCCGTTGCATCTTACTGGAAAACTATTAAAAGTAGAGATACTTCACTTATGGCATTTGCACATGGTTGAAGAGCACTGTATTCTGTTATA